ACGGGGCCCACCAAGCCAGCAGTCACTAAAGTTTATTGCCCCTCCCTGGGGACTTCCCCAGCCTGCAGGAAAGGGTCTGAGGGGAATGGTTGCCCAAGCCAGGTTTAATGAAATCCCGTCTTTGCTCTTCACCAGCACCATGGGGCAGAGTAAGCCTCTGAGGTAAACTCGGGGTGGATGGTGTAGCTGCCTCGCTGAACTCCTCCTGTCATCTTGAAGTGGCTTGTGTCCCATCTAGGAGAGCAGATAAAGTTATCAGCTATGGGAGGAGAAAACTCCGGTGAGGAAGAAGAACAGAAAACCTGCTTCTGGCTGCCAGCATTGCTTAGGGGTGAGCAGTAGACATGCAGCTGCGTCCACCCACTTTAGTGTGTATCTTTGGGTGCTGAGGCCAAAGTGAAGTCTGGGCAGAAGAGCTGAAGCTCCCTGGCATTGCCATCTCAGTGAGTTGATTCCAGTGGGTCTCCCACCCTGCACACACCCACTCTCCCTTGCACAGTCGTTTTCCTAAAACCTTCATTCCCAGATTCATGCCAGTCCAGGAAAATCTATCTGTTTCTCAGTGGAGAAGACTTTGAGAAACATCTCGCCAAGGCTTGGGCATAGGGACATCTATGGGGAACCCAGTGCTCCCTGTTCTCATTGCTGTTTGGTTTTAGTTTCCAGGCTCAGGAATTTAAAGCCAATCACACATTTTCTGCAAAGCCTCATGCTTAATTTTGGCCCCTGGGGGGGTCAATGCAGTAGCAGAGTGATGACTAAGCTGGTTGAACAGTCACTGCTCTCCCCTCGCTGCTTCGCCCTTGCTGCTTCCCCAGGGCTGAATAAAGCTGCCTTAGCAATGGAGACATCCTAAAGGTAAACATGTGGGGATTAAAAGGTGCTGCTGGACCCGCAGTGGGTGAAGGACAGGGCTGATTACTGCATAATGAACAGTGTGACTAGGTTCTTGGATAAGAAGAGCAAACAATGACAACAGAAAATACAAGAGCAACACAAGAAACACTGATGTGGCCCCAAAATCTAGGAGAAGCTCAGCTACATGCAGCTGGGCTCAGGGATGCCAGGAAGATTTCAGGTGCTGTACAGTCCCAAGGACTGCTGGATGAGACCAGGCATAGAAACACCTGTCCTGGGAGTAAATTTGACAACTGCTTCTCTATGGATAGCAACAACATTCTCCACAGCCCAGCACTACAATGGTGTCCTGCCCTCCCTGGTCATGTCCACTTTGCAAGATGGAGGTGCAAGAGCTGCATCGCTGCCTGCATGGGCACCGTGATGGGACCCACTACCGCTCAGGGCCTGCAATCTGCACCATCATCCCCAGAATAACCCTCTGAGCAATTTTGCATAAAACTCTAATGAACGGAGAGCTAGTGGCTGGCTGATGTTAGAAAAAAATAATAGGCTTTTCCCCCAGGGCAACTGTGTTGGAGTGCTCCCATCACTGAACCTGTCTGCACCTAGGGCTCCTGAATAGGGAGGATGGCTGGTGGTGATGTGTAGATGTACAGAACATCACTCTGGGGCTGTAACTGCAGCACAGGATACTCCTGCAAGAGACAAAGGAGGTAGGGTGAGCAGTGGCCCCAAGGACAAGGGAGATCATGTCCATCCTATCCCATTCCATTCCATCCCATCCCATCCCATCCCATCCCATCCCATCCCATCCCATCCCATCCCAACCAAAGCCATCCCAACCTTACAGCCCTCTCTCCTAGTGCGTGGAGATGTCCTCTGATGGCAGAGGCCCCATCCATGTAGTAGTCCATCCCTCGCAGGCAGTAGTGGCGCCCAGAGCAGGGGCTGTAGTAGCCCTGGAAGAGTCCCCTCCCTGTCATGGTGTACACGGGCAGCATGTTGACAACCACCTCCCTCTCTGCAAGCAGAGGGATGGTGAGAGTAAGGGCGAGGAGGAGCAGCCAGCCCGTCACCTGGATGGACACTGGTATGGCACAGGCACTGCCACAGCTGGAGTACAGGGACAGGATGAGGGCAGTTACCAGACTGATTGAGGCAGATGGGTTTTGGGCGGTACGGCGCTGGTATGCTGTGCAGGAAGGTCTGCATCCTTGTCTCCTGCAAGGAATGAGGGCAGACCTTGCAGGATTTCCACCCTTTTGCTGCAGACCCTGAAGTACTGGTGGCACCTGAGGAGGCTCCAGTTTGGGGGATCCAGGGGGACTGGACTCTACCTTGGGCAGGATGGGAAGGTAAGAAGAGTGCTTATTCCAGGCTGTGCTGTTGTAGGGACCCGTTCTCCAGGTGATGTATTTGTCCTCGTTGACAAAAACTGGGTTGTACTTCTCTGCAATGCAAAAGTGACAGGCAGGGGTGTCCTATGGTGCTGGGGGGGCGGAGGGACAACCGGAGAGTCCCAACCGTTTTTCCTCGGACAACCGGAGAGTCCCAACTGTTTTTCCTCTCCCCGAAACACAATGCCATGGGGGCATGTCAGAGGTGCTGCTCCTGGGGTCCTTGTTAAGGATCTGTGATCGAGGTGACACCCACCACTTTCAGCTCTTTGGTCACTCATGAAGCCTTGGTCTCTGGGGTTATGGGGTGCCAGGA